TGGGTGGCTTCGCCCTGGTGAATACCTAAGGCTCTGCCTCTTACTACGTAACAGGTGTGCTGAGACCAAAAAAAAAAAAAAAAATGGCCCAAATGGAAGAACAGATCAAAGTTCCAGAAATAGAACTAAGTGATGAAGAAATAGCCAATCTACTAGATAAGAGTCAAAGCACTGGTAATCAGGATGTTCACAGAAATGGTTGAGTATGGTCACAAAACAGAGGTAAAAAGTGAAGGCTATGAAAAATGAAATAAAGAAAAATGTACGGGGAACCAACAGTGAAGGGAAGGAAACCAGCAATCAAATCAATGGTTTGGACCAGAAGGAAGAAGTAAACATTAAGCCAGAACAGAATGGAGAAACAAGAATTCAGAAAAACAAGGAGAGGCTTAGGAATCTCTGTTAGACATTCCAACATCCAAATCATAGGGGTGCCAGAAGGAGAAGAGGAAGAGCAAGAAATTGAAAACTTATTTCAGAAAATAATGAAGGAGAACTTCCCTAATCTGTCAAAGGAAATAAACTTCTAGGAAGTCCAGGAAGCTCAGAGAGTCCCAAACAAGTTAGACCCAAGGAAGCACACACCAAGGCACATCATAATTATATTACCCAAGATTAAAGACAAGGAGAGGATCTTAAAAGCAAGAGAAAAGAAGACAGTTACCTACAAAGGAGTGCCCATAAGACCATCAGCTGACTTCTCAAAAGAAACCTTGTAGTCAGGAAGGGGCTGAAAAGAGGTATTTGAAGTCATGAAAGGCAAGGACCTACATCCAAGATTACTGATAGCAAAGCTGTCATTTAGAATGGAAGGGCAGATAAAGTGCTTCCCAGATAAAGTCAAGTTAAAGGAGTTGATCATCATCAAGCCCTTATTATATGAAATGTTAAAGGTTCTTATCTAAGAAATTGAAGAAAATCAAAAACTGTGAACAGTAAAATGACAACAAACTCACAACTATCAACAAATGAACCTAAAAAATTAAGGAAAACAAAAACTAAGCAAACGACTAGAACAGGAACAGAATCTCAGAAATGGAGGTCACATGGAGGGTTTTCAGTGGGGAGGGGCAGGGGAGGAATAGTGGGGAAATGTACAGGGAATAAGAAGCATAAATGGTAGGTACAAAATAGACAGGGGGAGGTTAAGAATAGTATGGGAAATGGAGAAGCCAAAGAACTTATATATGACCCATGGACATGAACTAAGATGGGGGGAGGGTAACGCTGGTGGGAGAGGGGTGCAGGTTATGGAGGGTAATAAAGGGGAGGAAAAATGGGACAACTGTAATAGCATAATGAATAAAATATATTTAAAAATAAAGCATAGCTCAGATGTTACCTTTTTTCCAGAGCTTCCCTTGACTTCCTCAAGGACATATCTCTTTTTTTAATATTTATTTATTTTTAGAAAGAGGGGAAGGGAGGGAGAAAGAGATGGAGAGAAACATACATTGATCGGTTGCCTCTTGCACACAACCCCAGCCAGGGACCAAACCCAGAACCCAGGCATATGCGCTGACTGGGAATTGAACTGGCCACTTTTTGCCTTGCAGGATGATGCCCAATCCCTTGAGCCACAACAGCCAGGCCCCCAAGGACATTTCTATTCCCTCAATACCTACATATCTTATAGCCGTTACTTTTATGTTTTGATTGCTCGATTATTAGCTTACATTTTCACCTGGCCTGGGGCAGACTCCATACACCTCATCTGTGGGGCCATGCTTTCAGCCCACTATGTAGCACCTGCAAGGTGCCCAGAAGATATTTTCTAGTAAATTTTCCCACCTGCATTTAATCCCATTAAGACCTGACTACATACATTTCACAGAGGAGTTGTTTAGTCCTACTTGGACGGTTCTTTGCCTTAGATGAGGTGGAGAGGATTGGAACAGGGAGGGAGTTTATCCCTGATCCCCTCCACAGTTCCCTCTGTCTGGGGGTTCTATTCTGACTATAGCCCCTTTCAGGAAAAACACAATTTTTTTAAAGGCAGATAGACTGAAAACTGTGCCAAGTGCTTGGTTCCACATTGCTTTCAGCAGCTTCATTCTCAGTGGAAGAACTCAGTGCCGCCATGGGCATCGTTCACGGGCATCGTGCAGCCTGGTGTAGCAACAGCTCGGACAGATGCTGCGCACCTGAGAGCCGATGGGGAGGAGCCAATGGGGAGGAGCCGATGGGGAGGAGCCGATGGGGAGGAGACACGGCTGCAGCAAAGCCACTCCCATCTGTCCATCAGATGCAGTCATAAAACTCGGCAGTTTGTCCTTGTTCCTCATTTGGATAAAAGAATTTTAAAGACTATAATTTAATGCTTTTTTGATGGCTATTTTAGTTGAATTGGTTTTAGTACCATCATGTAACAGATTCACTTAAAGTCACCTTTATTTTTGATGGGGAAAAACAGAGGTTTAACTGTAGAAAAGCAAGAAGTAGGGGCATTCAACTACATTTCTAAGGGGTGATCAAGGTACAAGGATATTTTTGTAGAAATCAAACATCCAGTATGCAATTCCTTTAAACATTCATTTTTCTAATTACAATAAACTGTGCTGAACTGCTCATTAGTACTAATAATTACCTCAAGTGGGCCACAGACTGAAGAACAGTTTGAGGTTAAATGTTATTCAAATAGCTTTGAAATAAAAGTGGTCTGTAAAAGTATTTCACATCCCCAAGTTAGAAATGGTTCCCTCTGTGATTCCCCAAGAGGGTGCCTGGTTCTTTGGGCTGGTGAGCAGCGCAAACTCCACACTGCAGTTACATTTGTATACTAACGGGCACCTCCAGAGTGAGCAAGAACTGAAAGAACACTGCTTCTCACTGCAGCCAGCCCTGAACTGTGCAGCCCAAAGCCAGCTCATAGCCTCTGCCATGTGACATTGTGCAGCAAATTGGGTTAATAGTTTTGAGAAGCCCCAGCCCATGCCAAAACACCTATGTGTGGCAGCTGCCTTGGTGAGAGGGCTTTGCAAAGTTCAGAGCCATCTTGGATTCCTCTGCAGCAGGGATCCCTAACATGGGGTCTGTGAGGGTATCAAGGAGTGTGTAACTGGGGTAGGAAAACACACATCGGCTTAGTCTTTTATGCTCTTCTAACTAAAATTTAACATTAAAAAAAGTGTGTGTGTATGCTACAATCCATAATGGTATCAGTAGTACTGACGACTTTGTTATCCACAGAAATCACAGATAACCTTGAAATACTGTTTCCCCTTCACTGCTTCACAAGTCATGGTGCTGTGATAGAATCAGTTAGGTTCTATCAAGTGGGTTAATAAAAAAATTGCAAAATTGAAGTGTTTTATGCATTTAAAAATATTGTTCTCCGTAAAAAACAAGGACAGATTCAGGCGCTGTCACAGAACCAGGAAGCCTAGGGAGACGTGACAACTAAATGAGATGGACCCCCTGGACTGGGTCTTGGAACAGAAAGAAGACAAGTATGGGAACGCTGGATAAATCCAAGTAAAAGTCTGGAATTTAGATCATAGTAATGTGCCAGTGATGGGTTCTTAGTGTTGACAGGTGAACCCTAGACATGTAAGATGGTAACAGTGGGGACCTCTGGGTGAGGGGTGTTCGAGAACTCTGTACCCTCTTTGCCACGTCCCCAAACCAGAGATGTGTGGAGTGGAGGTTCTGTCTCAGTTCAGGGCCTCTTCCTGTTACAACTCCGAGGAAGTGCAGGGAGAGAGCAATCCAAAGTAGGGAGGAGTTTTCCAGAGAAATAAAATAATTTGCAGTGTCCCGTGGTGGAAAAGCCATGGCTTTGGGGTTAAAGGCCAGGCTTCATATTCTGGTTCTGTCACCAGCTCTGTGCTCTGCAGCCAGGAAGCTGCTGTGGACTCCTTCTCCCCCCTTACAAAATGCAGCCATCAATAAAAGCCTTGCCAGTGTCATTATGAGGACCAAAGGTGAGGTGCCCATAAAGTAGCCCTTCATTGGTTTTAGCTGTTATGTTTTAGTGCTTATTCCATGCCAAGCACCGTACTAAGCGTTTTTCATAAGCTATCTAACTTAATCTTCATAATACCTGTATTACATGACCTTTTCATAAATATGAAAACTGAGGGTCAGAGGCATAGTGACCTCTGACCTTTAGTGGCCCAAAGCCAGTAAGCTGAGCTTAAATTTAGATCTTTGATGACTGTAGTTAGTTCATGGACTTCCTATGTCTTTTCTTGAGGCTAAGCCTTTCCTGACGACCCGATGAATGTGCTTTCAGGTGCTCTTCAGCCTCTCTGACTTCTGAACCCCCTCTCGTTTGTTTTGCACGTGTATCCAGGTCTGGATGTCCTCCCCCTGACACTGCTGTTCATGGGGGGGGGGGCTTCTCCCCACGTGAGATTGATCAGCTGTGTATGTAAATGAGGGTGTTGGGCTGTGCTCATGTCTGTCCCAATATAGAAGGTTTGTTCCTCATTGTGACTTCTAACTGCTTATTTCAGTTGTTAGATAGGATCATTAGTAAGTTGCTGAAGCCAAAATTTTTCTGATTTGCTTTGAACAAAGTTATGCATTTCTGTGTCATTTTCCCAGATTCCACAGCAGGAGGAATGGGGAACAGCCGGGGAGGAACAGAACTCTAAGGTTTAATGACCTTCTTAAAAACAACAACAAAATAAACAACCTAGCAGAGACCACTGTGACATTTACCTCTTCCTTGATTGGGATTTGTTGAGGGATTACTCAAAAGGACATAGGAGTGATTTTATTTTTTTGTTTCCTTTTGTAATTAGAGAGAGGAGACACCTAGTGCCACCACGTAGTGGCCAATTATTTCCAATTAAAGTCTATTGAAGGGAAAGAGAAGCAGGTATGGAGCCAATTGAGCCATAAGAAGTAGTTACTAGGTGATGAGCCTTGTTTCCATGAGCGATATGGGCACACACATTCATCTCAAAATGTGGGAGCCAGAGCAGCACTTAGCATGGTTAGGTGACTTCAGTGGGAGGTTCTTCAATCCCATGCTTTGCTCTCTTGTGTTTCAGTTTTTCCCCTACATCCTGTTACTGGTTGCCATCCTCCTGTACCTGCCCTCCCTGTTCTGGCGTTTTGCTGCTGCTCCGCACATTTGCTCGGATTTGAAGTTCATCATGGAAGAACTCGACAAAGTTTACAACCGCGCAATTAAAGCTGCAAAAAGCGCACGTGACCTTGACCTGAGAGATGGTGTCGCCCCAGTTCCTGGCTCTAATGAGAACGTAGGGCAAAGGTAACTTAGTCCCCAGCGGGTACCCATTTGGGTTTTACAGTACACATGTTTGCTGCCCTTTTCCTGCCAGTCCGGGCTTCAGATTCCCACTGCCAGCAGATGGGGGCCATCATCCACCTGGTGACAGTTTGTGGGAGCCAGGCAGGCTCGCCCTCCCTAAATTTTGACCCCACCTGCATGTCCCAGCACTAGATCCTCCCCTTGTTGAGTGAAGCATCACCGCCTCATATTCTAAAATGCAGTTCTAGCAAAGATAATAGGTTACAGTACTGGGTGTGGCTTGCTTGCTTTCACCTCCACCTTAATGGTGAAGCCCAGAGGATTACGAGACCACTGAGCAGGTGTGAGAGAAGTAGGGCATGAGTAGGCAGGGCCTCGCCTTTTTCACATTCTTCCTCTGGTTCTTGTGATTAGCAATAGTAATAATAGTAATGGCTCTTATTTTTAAAATACTTAATATATCCCAGACACCATATTGAGTTCTCTAAGTACACTATTTCATCTAACCCTCAGAGCATCATTTTCAACTCAGTGCATTTATTTGTCTCCCTCTCCCTCCATTTTCAGATAAAAATACTGCCCTATAGCAACCAGCAGGTGCGGCGGGACCTGAGCCAGGGCTGTTGGGCCCGCAACCTGAGTCCACAACCCTGCTTCCCACCCTTTGCCAATAGGAAGCACGTGTGTTCTGGTTGGGCTGGAAGATTCGTTTTTGCTTTATTCTGCACACTTGAGCAGAAAATTATAGTTTAAAAAAAGCAGCAGGACAAGAACTATCAAATTTACTTAACAAACATGAACATGTACTAGGTACCAGGTGTTCTAAGAATTTACAAATAACTCATTTAACAAACTAGACCTTATTTTAAATGTTAAGCGGAAAGGTGTTTTATTATTGCTTTTCATTTTTCTTAAAAATACTGATTTTTTTCCTCTTGTACTTAAGTGAGGTTACAAGCAGAGAAATACAGGAGGGAAGGTGTTTAAAATTTTCAGTGTGCTGTTATTGAATGTGATTATTTCTTTAATATTGGATGGTCTTGGTAAGGCTTTAAATTTTTTTATTTGTTTCTTTTCCTTTTTAGTTTGTGGGAGATATCTGAAAACCACTTTAAGTACCCAATTGTGGAACAGTACTTGAAGACAAAGAAAAACTCAAATACTTTAATCGTCAAGTACATCAGCGGCCGGGTGCTAACACTCAGCATCATACTGTTAGCATGCGTCTACCTGGGCTATTACGTTAGCCTCTCCTCCCTCTCGGATGAGTTTGTCTGCAGCATCAAATCAGGGATCCTGAGAAATGATAGCACCGTCCCCGATCGGTTTCAGTGCAAACTCATTGCAGTCGGCATCTTCCAGTTGCTCAGTTTCATTAACCTCGTGGTTTATGTTCTCCTGGTTCCCATAGTTGTCTACACGCTGTTTGTTCCACTGAGACAGAAGACAGAAGTTCTGAAAGTGTATGAAATCCTGCCCACTTTTGATGTTCTACATTTCAAGTCTCAAGGGTACAACGACTTGAGCCTCTACAACCTTTTCTTGGAGGAGAATATAAGTGAACTCAAGTCATATAAATGTCTTAAGGTACTGGAGAATATTAAAAGCAGTTGTCAGGGCATCGACCCCTTGGTTCTCCTGATTAACCTCGGTACGATCAAGGTGGATGTTTTCGATGGCAAAGTTGTCGATGGCAAAAATCACAAGCAGGATGAGATGACGGGAGAGGAGCAGGGGAACCAGATGGCAGACCTCAAAGGTAAGGTTAGCTTTCAGGGATTGGCTGAGGGAACCCACAGAGAGCCTTTGCAGCTGCCTTTTATGAATGATTGACAGTCTTTGCCATGTCCACCATCGGGCATTACGCCCTTCTCCTAGTACGGTCTTGGGTAAAACCCTCCAGTACTGGGAGAGAGGGAAAGAATTGGGGCAGCCCCAAATTTCCAAAGAAGAAAAGCCTCTGTGCTTTCCCTAGACTGTTCTTTCTTCCCCTCATTCTTTCTGTTTCATACTCTGCCTCTTGCGTAAGCATTCCTCTTTGCTGTCATTCTTGCTTATTTTTTCTCTTGTTTTACTGGCTTTTCTCCCTGCATCTTTAGTCCGCTTGTCTTTTGTTCCCCATCTCTTTTAAAAGGGAATGAAAGTTTATTGGTTTCATTGTTGCCCTGACCTAACTTCACTGCGCAGTGACGTGTGGCTAAGAAGCAAGACCTGGTAAGGCAAAGAACATGAGAGATTTACAGCAGAACGAAGTTAGTTCATGCTCATGGCTCCTGCTCTGTGCCTCCTGTCATAGGTATTTGTTTTCCATTTTGACAGATTTGAATGTACACGGTGGAACTAAATCAAATAATGGAGCGGGCAATGCTCGACAGAGACTTCTGGATTCCTCTTGCTGATGATTTTTTTTTGTCAACCTTAGATCCATGACTTCTGGGACAAGGGATTCATTTTGGCTAAAGTGCCTCTGTCAGGTTTCAGCTGGTTTGCAGCAAATGGTTCTTGGTAGTGGCAGAACACGACTTGGTGAGTCCCTAATGAAAACGACGATGAGCAGAATGTTGTTGGAGAACTGTTCATGAACTTCCTATGAGAAGAAATGCAGAGACAAATAAACCACAGCAAGTTCTCATCAGATGAAAAGTGGAAAGTCTAATCAAAGTAAGGGCAGTAGCCCTTTTGGGGTCTCAGAGAAACACTTTTCTGTGTAGACAGTGTGATGAGACTCACAGCTATGGGAAAGCAAGGACTTTGGGAGATTTTTCATTTCGTTTTATGAAGTAATAAGAAGCATGGCAGGATTCAGTTTAATATGGATCTCCTACAAACCCTAATGACTGTTGGGCAAGAAAAGCACTCACTGGCTGTGGACCCAGAGGTACACCTGTTCTTGGCCTCTTCCTAACCTGGGAGAAGTGCCGGTGCCTTGGTCTGGCAGGCCCCGCTGTCTTCACACTGCTGCTGTGAGCCTTGGTGGACTGAAATTCTCTACCAGTTTTTGCTATTAGCCATTATGAAGGGCCCAGGCCCAAGCACTCCTCTGACAGAAAACTGTATCACATAGAATCTACAGGGTATTTAATTGTGACTTCTGTACAGGAAAGAATGCTTCCAAAAGAGCCAGTGGGGAAATCAGAACATACAGAACACGTTAATTCAGTCACTTTTCAAGGTTGTTCTTCAGTGCGTTTCTCTGTTAGCAAAAGCATTGGAAACAGGATGTTATTTAAACAAATTCAGCGAATGCAGAATGCTTCAAGTGAGGGACATTTTGCCTCTGATCAAAACATATAAATGACATCTGCCATATGGTGTGCCTGGAGCCAGAACAACTTAACAGTTTACTTTATTTATAATTAAGCACATCTTTTAAAAATTTATTGACTTAGAATCATATGGCGTCAGAATTGAGGCCATTTGGGATGCGCGTTCTGCCTGTCCCATTATTCTCACTGTCCCATTTGGTGGACAGTTATGGAATAAATGACACAAGTGGGCACATGACATAAATGCAAGTGTCATTTCATAAACCCTTGAGGCGGATTCAGAATAGGTAAAAACTTTAACCAGTTCTGACCACGTGAATGCATCATCATTATATTTATATTTTATACAAAATTCTTTAAAATGACGTCTGTAGACCTGCTCATTTTCATCCTTAACAAGTTAACACATTGCTGAAGTGAGTAATCCTCAGGCACCTCAGAGTTTACACATGGCTTCAGGGGCAGTCATTGACCTGATCTCATGACTGCTTGGTGAAAAGCAAAAGTGATATAAGCTGCTCTTTGTCTTTCAGAAACTCACAAAGCAGATTTGTGTGCGTGCACGCTTCTGGGTGGTTTCCGAAATGGGTAGCTAATGATAGATAACCAAGAACGCAATCAGTGCTGTAAATTAGTCTTATTTCTTGATATTTATTACCATTAAATTGTAGTGGAAATGGCAGTAACCTAAATAACCAGTTTTGTTACATATTTATATCATTGTATCTGAGATGTTTGATCACAATTCTCTACATTCATAACTTTTTATAATTTGAAAAGATTTCTGAAGTATATTTTTTTATGATATGCTTTTTTTTCCCCAAAAAATCTTCATCTTTTCTATGGACTGCCCCAAATTTGTACTTTGAAGGCGTAAAAGCAGACACATTACTTAGGAGATCCGGAACTCTCTAAGTCCTGTCACCTGTCTTCCTTTCATTAGAGTTATAATTTGCCTCTGTTCATTTCCCCATTCCTACATTCTGAGCTCCAATAGGGTCTGTGATTCTCAGACATCACACTAGTCACTGACTACAAGGGTACGAATGAGACAGGTCCTCATCTTTGAGGAGTTCAGAGTCCAGTAAAAGGCAGTGAAGACAGAGGCAGGTACCAAGAAGAGTAACCACCATAAAGGCCCTTCCAGAAAACTCAGCCAATGCTCTGTGTTCCTGGGAAATACCATGCTGTTTTGTTTTTTTTCTCATAATTTCTGTTTCTGGTGCTTTTGAGACTCTGCTTACAGTTTTACCAGAGGCTCTGGTTACATGTTCCCCAGACTGCAGCTTGGACAAAACCATCTCAGAGATGGGGATTTTGAACAGTAAGTGCTCCAGTCACTCCACCTTTCACGCCTTACCTAGCAGGGGGTGGGGGCACAAGCCAATGGGGCACATGGAGCTAGCTGCCCATGAACAACAGTCGTGGTGCCAGGAGACTGATGTGGATGTCTGGGCATGTATTTTGGCTTGGACAAAAAGTGCTATTAGGGAAATCAACCCATCTATCCATGGTGAGTTACTGGCCTAGCGGTCTGCTTTTCAGGAGCCAGACTCCTGAGGGTGAGGAGTCATTCATTGCTCTGTAAAAGGAGATAAACATTCTAAATGGTCATACCCAGTAGGGCTTGTTCCTGGCCCAGGTCTGCCTAGTAAACCACCAGGGGGCTTCTAAACCAGACTCATAACAACACTGGTGTTGCAGCTGGGACTGGGACCCATCATTCTGAATGCAGTGACCAGCCGCATGTATAATTTTACCAAGGGACAGGCAGAGACCCTCCAATGCAGAGGTTCTTAAACTTTTGGAAAGTTACGAACTCCCTTGAAGATATTTTCTTAAAGCTATTGACCTTCTCTTCGGATATACACAAACATTAAAGAAACCTTCAGGAGTCGTAGTCCACGCACCCAAGGTTAAGCTGGGCTTTACTGGCTGAAGGCCAGCCCACACCGGAGAGAAGGGCAGCCCCTGCTGCATTTGTGGAAACACTAATTCTAAGCTATATGTTTATTTTTGAATGAAGTGCATGTTTTGAGTAACTGACTTCATTTTCCAGAGTCAGATTTGAAACAGTTGCAAGAGTGACTTGGAAGAGGTAGCCTGGAATGATGGGGCAGTTGGCCATGACCACTGTTCTCTGGCCACCAGGTGTTATCTTATTCCAGATCCAAATCACTGTCCTTGTACAGCCTCACTGGAATGTGAGGAGGGTGGCATAACACTTGTAAAGTGCTTTGTCCTACTATGTAGTGGTTCTGTCACAAAGCTAGGAACTTCCATTTGTATGGTGGGTGTTGATGTTCTTGTTTCATTTGTGGAAACACGTTCACTGAGTAAGTATGGTCTCCCATCCAAAAGTGAGCAGAGGTGGGGCGGAGGAGCACTGGGAGCTTGTTCCTGGGAGAATTAGTTCAGCTCTTAGAGGCAGATGGATACACACCTTTTTAAATGAACTCATGTTTGGTTTATTTTGCTATTGTCAGTTCAGGGTAAATAGCAGATCCATGGGGGTGGGAGTTTTTATCTAGTGCTATACATCAAGCTCCTAAAACAATGTTGTGTAATGGGCATTCTCAAATGTGTGTTGTATCACAAGCACACTGTTATGATAAGTCCTAGTTTTTTGACAACCATGATTCGATTTTAAAAGGCAGATGGTTCTCTGAAGGAGAGAGGAAGGGAGGCTCATTTAGCTTTTTGGTGGAGAGGGAACTATTTCTGCAGATGAATAGGTTTCCACATATAAATAGTGACAGTTCGTAGCTTTTTATTGTGGAGTTAGTCATGATCACTTTCCAAATTCAAAACAAGTTCAATGTTGCCTTGCAATCATTAGAGAAATTGAGTTTTTAAAGGTCCTGGTCTCTGTAATTTTCCAGAATAATCTCATGGAAAGGATCATTCATTGAAATGTGCAATTATCAGCAATCAAGGTTTCATCTCTCAGGGCATTGCGATAAACTAGCTCCTTCTGGGCAGTCATTGGCTTTGGGCTCTATTTTTCACAAGTAAAGTAAAGCCTTTATAAAACAGGTTGTCAAAGATGATGTTGTGTTATTTGTAGAATGTCATAAATGTTCATCTGTGCTTGGTTTGTCTTGAACAGTGCTTTAAATGTAGTGTTTTGTTCTTGGTTCTCTTCTTAGTGGTACAAATACTTTGTCACTTAAAGCATGCGGTTTGATCAGTAATTGTTATTCAAGTCCCTGAAAGTTATAAAAGCTTCTCATGCCTTGAGTGCATGCCCCTGGCCCACCAGAGGAGGAAAAATCTTGTAGAGTTCTACGAGGTCACGTGTTCTCTACAAAAACGAAGCCATCAGCTCCTCTTTGACAAGTTGGCTTTTTAAAAGCATCACAATTACAGTTTAATAGTTCTTCTAGGTATAATCAAAACTGTCTTTAATGACTAAATTGCTTCAAAACTTTTAAGGAAAAACATGTATGTTCTTGTTACTGTGTCATTTGATAGGAAGGGTGGCTTCTATTCCACAGAAAAATCAAAAGATGAGAACACGTCATGGTTTAGAAAGTGATCCTTAAAAGCGGCACAAGCACTTTGAAAGCTCTGCATTTTGATGATTATCACTGTTATATTTCATGTTTCCACATGAGCCAGTTGTCCAAGATCTGCCTGCTGATCATGCTGACTTCGTTTAAGGGGGGATGAGAGGCCAAAGACAAGGCCGTGGTGTTCATACATTCAGGCGAAACTGTTTTGGTTCCACATTATTGTGTCCACCTAAATAAAACTTTTCTGAGTAATGAAAAACGTGTCTTAATATTCCTTGCCTTCTCTTCAGAGAAGATGTAGCAGAAGGCGCGTCCTGGAATGTCCTGAGGCTCATTCCTGTCTGTTGGGTACATCAGATTCAGTAGGCTTCCTGGTGCTTATTAAAGTCCAGCTGGCAGTAATTAAAGGAAGAAAGCTTTGATTAAGGACCCACAGATTCTGGCATTTCTAAAGCAGAAATCACATGCTTTTTCTGATTGGGGATTGTTTGCCTTGGAGAGGAAGGCGTACAGACTACATGCTTCAAGACATTGTTGGTGTGCGCATTTGCTCATTGCTTCCTTCTGCTCCCAGCTGTTTCCTAGGGTGGCACTCCAGGAACCTTGGAAGTTGTGTTCGTTTTCCATCATTCTGTAACCAATTACTGCTACCTTAGCAGCTTAAACAAATAACATGTATTATCTCAGTGTCCTGAGTCAAGAGTCTGGATGTGGCTGAGCTGAGTCCTCTGCTTAGGGTCTGACAGGGGTGCAGTCAAGGTGTGGATGGGTAACAGTCTCCTCAGAGGCTCCCTCGGGTTGTTGGCAGAATTCACTTCCTTCCAACTGTCTTCCTTTCACAGAGTGTTCGCTGGAGGAGCCCACATTTCCTTGCCATGTGGGTTTCTCTAACATGACTGCTCATGTCATCAAGGCCTAGGATTGTCTCTCACCTCAGGTAGGGCCTGGGCCCTCTTTTGAGGGTTTTACCTGATTAAGTCAGGCCACTCAAAATACTCTCCCTTTTGGTTAATTCAAAATCACCTACTTTGGGAGCTTAAGTTATGTGAACTTAAGATCTATGAAATCCCTTCAGCTGTGCCGTATTCTGTTGCCTAGAAGCAAGTCACAGGTCCTGTCCACACTTGGGCCTGGGGGTGGGGTAGAGATTATATGGGGCCTGAACATCAGAGGAATCGTGGGGGCCACTGAGGGTCTGCCTGCCACGGGAGTTGTCCTGAATCCCAACCTCTCTGTCTGAGCCTGTAGTATGTCCTCAGCATCTTTCTGAGGCCTCTCTCTGTTCCCAATGATATCTTTCAGGCTCTGGTCATTTTTTTCCTGAATTCCTCTAGAGGTCTCATCATTTCTGACCCATTCTCCACACTCTTGTCAGTGGATCTGTCAGAATTAGATCTGAGAGTGTGTCAACCCTCTCCACCACCCCTCCCCCCACCACTTTAAATCCCTCAGGACTCTTCATGGACCTCAGGATAAAGGACAAACTTGTGACTGAGGCCACAGAAGGCCCACCTGCCCACTTCTTCAAGTTTATCCCCTATGGGATTAGGACCCCACCCTTATGACTTCATTTAACCTTGATTACCTGCTGAAGACCCTATCTGAAAATACTGTCACATTGTGGGGTTAGGGCTTCAATATCTGAGTTTCCCAGGGGGACACAGTTCAGTCCACAGCAGGGTATATATACCCAAGAGAATTGAAAGCACCATCTTGAAGAGGTATTTATATACCCATGTTCATAGAAGCATTATTCACAATAGCTCAATGGTAAAATCAACCCGAATGCCCACTTGGTGGATGAATAGCTTGAGAAAATATGGTACATGCATAATATCCTTTAAAAGGAAGGAAACTTGACACATACTACACATGGACAGACCTTGAGGACATGCTCACTGAAATAAGCCTTTCTCACACGCACACACACACACACACACACACACACACACACAAGAAAGAAAGAAAAAAAAACATACATATGATTCCACTTATTTTAGATCCCTAGGACAGTGAAGTGTACACAGAAGGGAGAATGGTGGTTTCTAGGGGCTGGGGAGAGAGAGAACAGAGTGTTTAATGGGCATACAGTTCAGTTTTGCCAGATGAAGAGAGTCCTGGAGATGGGTTGCACAACTGCTGAGTACTCAACACTACTGAACTGTACACTTCACAATAGTTAAGATGGTCAGTTTTATGTTGTGTGTATTTCACCGCAATAGAAAAACAACACTCTGCCATCTCTTGCAAGATGCTCTGTGGGACCTCTCCCCTCCCTTTGCCATGATTCGGGTGTTGCTCCTGTGCCAGTGGTTGTGCCACACATTGTGCTCGGTGCTGCGAAGTACTGCTCCATGTTCCTGCCTGTCTCCACCAGATGGGGAGGCCCTTGAAGGCCAGGGTGGTGCCTTCCTTGTCCCTGTGTCCCTAGCACCTGGCCCACAGCCTGATACCCACCTAGACACTAAGGAATTATTTATGCCTTCGTGTCCCACATGAATATCTCCTGAGCATGCCCAGTGGACAGGAGCAGCAGATTGGAAGGGAGCTGTCCTCAGGCCGATCATCAGTCTTCACTGCTGCTCCCTCGATTTTGCCCAATTCGAGGTGGCCAAGCTCAAGGCATCCTCCATCCTCTCATTGTGGTGACTGCAGGCTTCTCCAGGGGCCTTTCTGAAGCACTTCCAAGGAGCTTTCCTGGCTGGTGGTCTCTCCACCTGCACTCATGCTAAGCAATATCTGAGCAGCCTCACATTGTTTCCTGAAGGTATAACATACACCACCTTATCTGAACCCAGGAGCAGGGCCTAATATTGATTTGAAACACTGATACCATCGTAGTAAAAGGAGAATGATTTGTTCATTGTTTGTGCCTGGTCAGGAAAGAGGCTCAGTCTACAATGCTTCCCATCACAGGACCACCATCACCATCACCCAGGGGAAGTACAGGTTAGGCAGGGACACCCCAGCTGCAGGTTGCTGGCCTGGGCCTGCAGCTCTATATTCTCCTTCTCAAATGTGAGATGAACAAAGAGAAGGAACCAATCCGTGCTCCTTTGTGGTGCACTAGAGACTGCAGAAGGCTCAGGGAACAGAGAAGCACGTCAGGTGTGGAGGACGAAGGAAAATCAAAATTCATTTTCTAAGAGCACTGTTCTATTGTTTCCATGTGTCTTTTCTCAGACACAAGGAAAAGGAAAACAAGGGGAACTAAAGTGCTATCAAAAATCACTTCCAAATCCCCAGAAATAATAATTTGCATTACCTCAAGAAATGAAGAGGCCAATAGAACCCAAGCTTCCATGGAAACCTATGGAATGTAAGAAGAAATATTCTTAGGGTAATTTCAGAAGTAAAGAGACCCCAAAGATTTTAATATTCAATGCATTTATTCATTTAAATATCAAAACTGCCTGTTACAAAGACAGTATTGTTCAGTATAGTGGCCTTCGAGGCTCTTTACCACTTTTTCAAGTACCTTATAAATGTCAGCCCTTGAGAGAAGGCAGGCTTCATTTAAGCAAAAAAAAAAAGAAATCGCTGTAGTTCAGTGGATTGAGCGCAGGCCTGCGAACCACACGATCGCGGTTTGATTTCTAGTCAGGGCACATGCCTGAGTTGAAGGCCAGCTCCTGGCAGGGGACACATGAGAGGCAACCATACATTGATATTTCTCTCCTTCTCTCCTTCCCTTCCTCTCTAAAGATAAATAAATAAAATATTTTAAAAAGAAAAAGAAATTGCCTCAAACTATGACTGCTTTAAAAATGAGTGGGGAAAAAAAGCAAGCATTAGAAAAAGGGTGGTCTATGCAGGCTACCCAATAGCCTATGATGAGAGCCACATAAGTAATCATGTTTAATCCTCGCCCAAGAATACACTTATTGATTTTTAGCGAGAGAGAGAGAGAAACATCAGTGAGAGAGAAAAACATTGACCAGTTGCCTCCCGTACATGCCCAGACTGGAGATCACACCCACTACCTAGGTATGTGCCCTGACTGGGGACCAAATCTGCAACATTTCTCGTGTACGGGGTGATACTCCAACCAACTGAGACACCTGGCCAGGGCAGGGTGAGAGCCACATAAGTAATTTTAAATTTTCTGGTAGCTGTAAAAAAATAAAATGAAACAGGTAAAATTCATGTTAATGTACATAATTATTTTAACCAACGTAATACATCAGAAATATCATTATTTGAACATGTAACCAATATAAAAAGCATTGGGAGTTTTACCATTTTTATGTGCTAAGCCTTTGATCCAGCATGGATTTTACATTTACAGCATATCTCATTTCAGACTGGCCTCATTTAAAGTGCTCGGAATTATGACAAAGGAGGCAAGGATATACGATGGAATAAAGACAGTCTCTTCAATAAGTGTTGTTGGAAAAACTAGACAGATAAGTCAAAAAATGAAATTAGACCACTTTCTTATGCCATATACAAAAATACACTCAAAATGGATTACAGATTTAAATGTTACACCTGAAACCATAAAACTCCTAGAAGAAAACATAGGCAGTAAACTCTTTGTATCATTCCTAACATCTTTCTCTTCAAGCAAGAGAAACAAGAGAACAAATAAATGAGACTACATCAGACTAAAAAGCTTTTGCTCAGCCAAAGAAACCAAAATGAAAAGACAACCTACGGAATGGGAGAAGAAATTTAAAAATGATACATCTGATAAGGGGTTAATATCCAAAATATATAAGGAACTCATACAACCTAACATCAACTGCCCCCTCCACCCCCAGACAAGCCAATTAAAAAATGGGCAGAGGACCTAAATACATATTTCTCCAAAGAGGACACACAGATGGCCAATAGACATATGAAAAGGTGCTCAACTTCATTAGTCATCAGGAAATGCAAATCAAAACCAGAGTTGAGGTACCACCTCACACGTATCAGAATGGCTATCATCAATAAATCAACAAACAACAAGGGTTGGTAAGGATGTGAAGAAAAGGGAACCCTTGTGCACTGTTAATAGGAATGCAGACTGGTATAGCCACTATGGAAAATGGTACAGAGTTTCCTCAAAAAATTAAAAATAGTACTATCTATCTGGGCATTTGTCCAAATAAAACAAAGACACTAATTTGAAAAGATATATGCATCCCCATTTCATTGGCGCATTCGTAGTAATAGACAAGATATGGAAGCATCTAGAGGTTCAGTGATAGATAAATGGATAAAGATGTGGTACTTACATAAAATGGAATATTACTCAG